GTTCCCATTCCCGGAAAATTCCCAGGGACGGCTCCGAGTCCCTGTTCCCATTCCCAGGAACGGCTCCAAGTCCCCGTCCCCATTCCTGGTGTTCTGATCCCCTTTCCCATCCGCATTCCCATTCCCATTCCCATTCCCGATCCCATTCCCAACCCTGTTCCGGCCCCAATCCTGATCCTGATCCCATTCCCATTCCCATTCCCATTCCCATTCCCAATCCCAATCCCAATCCCATTCCCATTCCCATTCCCATCCCCATCATTCCCGTTCCCATTCCCGATCCCATCATTCCCATCCCGATCATTCCCATCCTTCCTGTTCCCATTCCCAGTTCCCAATCCCATTATTCCCGTTATTCCCATTCCCATCCCCATCATCTCCATCATTCCCGTTCCCATCCCCAATCCCATCATTCCCATTCCCATCATCCCGATCCCATCATTCCCAATCCCATCATTCCCATCATTCCCGTTCCCATTCCCATCCCCATCATTCCCATTCCCGTTCCCATTCCCAGTTCCCAATCCCATCATTCCCATCCCTGTTCCCATTCCCATTCCCATTCCCAGTTCCCAATCCCATCATTCCCATTCCCATCATCCCCATCATTCCCATCCCCGTTCCCGTTCCCATTCCCAGTCCCCAATCCCATCATTCCCATCCCTGTCATTCCCATCATTCCCATCCTTCCTGTTCCCATTCCCAGTTCCCAATCCCATTATTCCCGTCATTCCCAGTTCCCAATCCCATCATTCCCATTCCCATCATCCCCATCATTCCCATCCCCGTTCCCGTTCCCATTCCCAGTTCCCGATCCCATCATTCCCATCCCCATCATCCCCATCATTCCCATTCCTGTTCCCATTCCCATCATTCCCATCCTTCCTGTTCCCATTCCCAGTTCCCAATCCCATCATTCCCGTCATTCCCGTCATTCCCGTCATTCCCGTCATTCCCGCTGCCATTCCCGTCATTCCCACCTGCTGCTGGCTCTGCTCCTCCAGGTTGAGTTTGACCTCCAGGGATTGCCGCGCCTCCAGGAACGCTTTCCGCAGCTTCCGGTCGGCCAGCACGTAGGACACGGCGCCCACGGCCACCGCGCACGCCTGCAGCGCCGCGTTCGACACCAGCTGAACACCGGGATCGGGAATAAACACCGGGATTGGGGAATTCCCGGGATTGGGGATGAAAACACCGGGATTGGGGATTGGGGATATCCCGGGATGTCACCGGCACGTAGGACACGGCGCCCACGGCCACCGCGCACGCCTGCAGCGCCGCGTTCGAC